AAGTTGAAATATTAAAAACATTTATGCACTGATTTGAAGTATAAATTTATTATGTAATAATACTCATTAAATACACTATAATTATGTTATTAATTATACGATCAGTTATAATAATGATTCCAAGTTAATTTGCACGTGTAATTTCTATAGAAATTATGTACATGAGTTATTGATATTAGCTGTAAATATAAAGCTGTTTTAATCACGTTTTACGCAATGGTCGCTAGCTATTGTCAGTCGATTTCAGGAAAATGGTACGTAAATTAGAGCGTGAAAGATGTGTTAAGCTCGGGTGTCGGAGGCGTCCCGGGATGTCCTCTCTAGTTTAGGTCTCTGCGCCCGAGTGGTATGCGTGAGAACCGTAGAGTGAGTGTGTTGGTGTGTCTGTTTTGCCATTTTTTAAATATAGGGACCCTGTATAGGATAGGTAGCATACTTTCTGGTGTGAATGTGTTCAATTGTAAGTAGGTAGGGCCGGGCAGGTTGGCACAGTCTCTGGTCGCGTGTCCCCTTTTCGCGTGTCCAACCTGTTTCAGGAAATTTAATTTGAAAAATCGACAGTGAAATTGGTATGCCACTTGCCTCTGGTTTTACTCTTCGATTTTTCGAATTTAGTATCGCGGTCGCGGTCGTGGATAGGTCGCGAGTAGGTCCCGAAACGAACGTTTATTTAGGTATTGCTCGAGCACGCACGTGCGAACGAACAACGATCACTGTGATCGATGTTCGTCCATGTGTATTGAGGTCAGCTTTCGCGTTTATAAAAAATATAAATTATTTTTTAGATTGCGATTAGAAAGACTCGAGCTAGACGTAAGTTTCAGCGGGCATTGCGCTCGAAGAAAAGAAGAGGCCCGGCAAACTGCCACGAAGAGGGTCACAACAAATGGCTTCTCATCCTCTGGATCATTTAAATGATTCCAGAGCATGGGAAGTCATTCTCGTTACTACTTTGTCACTATGCTCTTTTAGTATTTGTAGTTATATTTTTCTTTTTTCTTCTTTATCATCGTTCATCATCGTTTTGGGCAAATCGGGAGTTTCGTGTTAGTGTTGCGAAAGATCGATTACGGGTTGAATTAGAGTAGTTGCTAATAGAAAAAACGAAAATAATTTCGTGTCTGTTTATTAGTATAGCGAGACATTGATTACGGTTTAAATTGCGAAGAAATGATAATCGTGTTTGCTTTGTAGAGCGAATTATGATACCGCGATTGTCTTTTACAGTTTCATACATTGTAAAATTTTCTTGCTTTTTCTTGTTTCAAATTAGATTATAGAGTCATCGCTCTTAACTTATTTTAGAATGTTATTTGAGGTGCTAGCTTTTTTATTGTTAATAATTATTTTCATGGAATTTAGTTTTAGAGGTAGTGTTGCGACATTATTTTATCGCGATTTCCAATTATTTTTCTTCTTGTTAGTGTTGCGATAATGAGTGATCGCGTTTTTTTTCTGAATTAGCGTTGCGTTTATGAAATGGCCAAATTCTTTCACTCATTCGTGGAAGACTGTTCCTGTTCCTGGATCACCTGATGTACTTGATACTCAGTGCAGGCTCTGCACATAGGTGGTCGTTCATCAGCAACCTTCAGTATGGTTCTGCTGAACGCGTCGCAGTTAGTATTGCGTATTTGTAAATACGAGTGCACAGATTAATAGCGTTGCGTACCTACTTTCGGGAGTTTTAAATATTACGAAGCACTCTTCGCGTTTGATTTTGATAATTTTCTATTTCATAATTAATTTTAGTATTTTGATAATTTTCTATTTCATAATTAATTTTAGTATTTTGATAGTTTTCTATTTCATAATTAATTTTAGTATTTTGATAATTTTCTATTTCATAATTAATGTTATTATTTATAACAGCTGAATTATTTTATTTTTATAAGTAAAATGATTCACTTGTTATAAATAAATTATGAAATATTGCTTGGAAATATAATGAAATAAATTATTGGTTGAATAAATAAGTTGTTAAAATTGTTAAATTTATGCAATAATGTGCATAACTATCATGGAAATGCATTATTTGGTCTCGTGGTTATATTTTTGATACTGTTTTATTCGTCAAGAAAAAAATTTCATTTCTTTGAATTTATATGTTAACATAAATAAAAAACTAATATAATTCATATAAAATTATGATATTAATAATATATTATATCGCAATCAATTTTTTCTACTATTTTCAAACAAATGTATGTAATTAATGAATTGTAAATTTTTCCTTTCAGTTTTCGTCGATCATTGTTTCAAGTAATTCTATCCTTTATTAATGTTTGATCACGTTTAATTAAATAAATAAATCTCGGTATAGAATTGATAAACATTTTCTATACCTTTTGATTTTAATTCCTGTCACTAGTAGTGCTACTGTACAAAACTTGCCTAAATCGATACGGCAGGATGTAACATGAAAATGATAAAGAAATTGTACAGCCTCCCAAACGTGTGATAAAAATGTTTATTTTCGTGTCTTTCCTATATCTGGTTTGTATGGTTAGTCGCGAGACTGTATAGTTGTCGTCTCTATAATTAGATTGCATGTTAAATCTATCCATGCAACTCATTTGTGGAATCATTGATTAATTTGGTATATGAATTTCAACAAGAAATCAGCACAATATTGACTCCCTCTGTAATTTCATAGATGTCGCCATGCTATCGAATAAGAATACAGCTTATTTTTTTTACAAATTTTTATTATTTGTGAAACATGTATGAATTATTATTTTACATGCGATTAGAGGGAAATTATATTTTACGATGAAACACCAATTTTTATTTCGATAAAAAAAAATACTTGTCGTATCTCGAAGCAGAAGAATCATGTTAAATATGACAAAAAAATAACGTCGAGTGAATAAAACAAAAAATAATTCAATATAAAATCATAACCACGTTAAGGATGTTCGGGCGTTCGTTAAAAATTTAGGCCGCGGACGTATTTTTATATCGCTCTGTCTAAATTCAAGCTGTGCGATAATTAATAAACTTTTAATTATTTTTTCGCGTCAAAAGACTTTCTATATCGGATGCCATTATCGTCAGAAGAAAAATTTCACAATACATCGAAGCCCATAATTCGTTTTTTAAATGAGAATTATCGAGTGCAGTTCAACGCGTCCTCTGAAAAATCCAAGGGCATCATTAGACGTAATTGTTGGCCTTAATGAAACAAAGTCTTGCCGCATCGTTAATATAGGGAAAGCAGAAAGCAGTTTACTGTCATGACTCTTTATTTCCACGCAACTTGCTTCGGTACTTCATCAAGTAACTAGAACGAAATTATTGTTCCGTCTTAAATTAATATTCAGTACTTAGATCGCAAAATTGTAACTAGTAACTTGTTCCGGTGAAAATAATTTCAAAAAATAATATTTTCGTATATTTTTGCGAGGAAAGCAGACGCAACTGAAAAACGTGATTTTCGTGTTAACGAGAATTATAAGAGAATGTCGCTGAGATAATTTTCATTGATCTTCATAATTTAGACGGTAGGAAGAAATTATGTTATTTTCCCCCTGACTCGTGTGACTCTGTAAATGCCTCTTACTGTAAATTTTATCTTAACTCTCATTGTGAATGTGAACAAATGTATTATAATTATATGAAGAAAGAGAGGTGCTTTACTTTGAATTGCGTTGTTTCTTTAATTAGTAAAATAATATTTAATTTAATCGAAAGTTTCTCGCTCCTTCTAAAAAAAGAAAACCATACATTTTCTTTGGCTTGTGTCACTTTCTTCGCAGCATGCCTGTATTCAGATAGAGATGAATAATAAGATAACAATGCGGTATCGTTTTGTTCAGAAATTTTATTTGTTACATACACTAGCCGACTACTATGCATGCGTTGGGGCATTCGGATACAGGGAATTCGCTTGAGATCCGAAACGCGTTGTTAGGTGTGTCTCACAAACAACTTGCAGTGTTTCCTTTGTTACTTCGTTTTTCATCCTTGCCTCAGTGGAGCTATGTGGTTACCCCCATCCCGTAATTGTTTTGTTTAAATTATAGTGCATTACGTTATGTGTTATAGTCCGGTGGATCTAAGACGAACGAAACCCTCTGCCATCATTGAGATGTCTCTTGCCTCTGTGTAAATCGGGGATTTACTCTCACGCTCACGGGAAAGAACGAAATGTGCAAAAGTGACGCGATCGGGGGAAGTAATTGCTTGAAAACATGGGGGTGACGATCACGAGAACGATGGTGAACACAAAACTCGCAAAGAGACTCGTCCGACTTAGGGTGCCTCGTAACCACATATATTCGCATTTATATTCTTTTTATGTATATTTATATATATATATATATATATATTTTGTATTTATATATATTTATATACAGTGGGCAGGGGTAAGGTAACGGTGGCAGCGCGGCGCAAAAATTGGCCTCAAAGAGTGAAAGAATAAAAATACTTTTGCGGAAACGTTTACTTTTGCCGAGATTTGTTTTTTTTTTTTTGTTTTGTTAACAACAAGATGCAAAACGAGAGGAATGATTAAATATCTTGCCGAAAAGCTCTGTTCTCTTTTTACGTTTTTAATAATTTTCTCTTTAATCTAATTCAATTTGATTCTTTAATTATGCGAGTAATAAATTCCTTCCTTCGTGGAAAAGTTCATTTCTAATAGTCGTGTCGTTCTGGAATTTCACAATCGTTGCAAAGATGTACAAAGATTTGAAATTCCTCTCGTTGACGTATAGATTGCATCCTGCGATCCATTCGAATCGGTTTTGACCCTTCTCGGCCGTCTGTCATCATTACCTTGACAATTACCTCACGTAGTTGTATCCGTAAATAAAGTATAATGTCTTACCAAGCTAGAACTTATACCGATATATTGCACATTTGACAACAGTTACGTCTTTTTTTTAAGTACTTGAGTATAGGAAGTGTTTTCTAATAAACATTTTCCATCGCACTCTCTCTCTCTCTCTGCCTTTCTCTCTCTCTGCCTTTCTCTCTCTCTGCTTTTCTCTCTCTCTCTCTCTCTCTCTCTCACGCACGCACATACACAGAGCGTTATCCGGAGAATCTCTTTCTCTCTCTCTCTCTTTCTCTCTAACATACATCTAACTCTCATCACGTACGCTTTTATGATCAATTAATCCGCAGTTGTGGCATCTGTCGCGAGTTTTCGCGCGATTTTCCAACTTCTCGCGAACTGGAAAGAATATCGCTTCGATGCAACGTCACAGAAGGCGTGTTCGAGGTCGAAGTTCGATGTGTCTGGTGATTTTTATTATTCGTAAACTCGTCTCACTTGTCACGATAATTTATTTAGCTTGTTGTTCGTTGCAAATCGTTCGGTGATTCCCTAAAGGCGAAATGTTCGTTTCAAGATATACGCAGGCATACTCTTACGTGCTCACTTTCTCGCTTTCTTCCTCTTTCTCTCTCTCTCTCTCTCTTTCTCTCTCACACTCTCTCTGTCTCACTGTCGCGATGCATCACACACACGCGCTTCGCCATACATATGTATATTATTTATACTCGCACTATTTAAAGCGGCTATAACTCTTAATTAGTTGTTCGCCTCCCACTTGGCGTCGATTCGTCTGCGACTCGCTCGCGCAGACAGCTATCTGCAACAAGTTGCCCGTCGAGTCCCGACGATGATTTCTTTCACTCTCGATCATCGACACGAGAGGCAGAGTTTCGAGGCGTGCCCCCTCCGAGGAACGCAGCGAATCGCGAGAACGAGTCGTTGTCGACGTTGGAAGCGAGCTTTGTCACACCGCGATCGATGATTCGTCATTGTACTTGGCCGTCCATAGGCCACCGTTTCGTTGAATGAGGACCGACTCGAAGTAATTCTCGTTGTTCGTCCCCTTCGTGATCGACAGTTCCTCTTATTGTCGATTCGTTCGAAGGTGATACGCGAAACACGAGAATTGCGTAGGCTCTGCGCGACATCGATCAGCGCTTCGATGTGTATGCGTGTGAATTTGTGTGCTTGTGTGTACGTGTGTGATTTAGCTCGATCGTGTGACGATCGTTCGAACGTAAACGATTTATATTCGTTGTGTGTATAAATGTGTGTGGTATGCTTCGTCTATACAGTCCTTGGTACAGGTATCTTTATAAACGTTTACCCTGATTCGTCGAAATTAGACTCGGTACTTTGATGTCGCAAGTGTTGTTGCGACCTAAAGAAGAGACGAATAATTTTTTGGTGTCGAGCGATTAGCGATTAGTTCTCGCTTAAGACAATCTCTTCGAAAAGCATCCATCTTTTGAAACTCAATCGCGTGGATGATGATGATTCGGGAAATTTCTGGCTGGAAACGCAGCGTTTAAAGTTCGAACGTGTAGCTGTTCTCGAAGTATTGAACGTCTTCTAGTTTCGATGATTCGTGAAAGGAATGTCGAAACGTTGATTAAACAGAGGCGTGGAGCGTGCTCGACGGCGGTCCTGCAGGGTACGAGGTGCTGGTGGGCGCAGCCGTGGGTTGTAGACTTAACTGCAGCTGGTGCTGCTGCGCTTTCGCCCTCAAGCAGGCGATACTCTCGTTCCTTAGCTGCTCCGTATCCTGAACGATTCCTAATAAACAGAATTTTCACGATGTTAATCTCAGTTTTCGTGGGAATCCTTTAAACGGTCGTTGTTCTCCCTTTTTTTAAAATTTCTATTCTCCCTTCTACGAGCAATGAATTAGAAACTTGGAATTGAGTCCCCGCTATTTTCCGTACCGTCGTTCGTCCGGAATCAGTATCGCCGTAGATGCACAGAATCGTGAGGAATTGAAAGGAATTATTACCTGACGACGAAGAAGGCCCCATGCCATCCTGACTTTCTTGTCCGCTCTCGGAGCTGGTCGGTCCACCTTGATGATGATTATGATGGGGGCTGCTTCCGCTTCCATTGTGATCATTTCCGCTGTCCTCGCCGCCGGACTTGAGGTGTTCCGCTGCTTCGATTGACTTCCGGTGCATCCCTGCGGGGCCACAGTCAATCAGTTCTTGATTATTTTCGATATCTTGACTAAAGCTGCTCGTCTTAGATGATTGAGCTGACAGAGGCGAACAGAAAAACAAAGTCGAGACTTGTATATTTTCTGCCAAGGCGAGGCATAGAGTTTTCATTAAGCATTGCTTGCGCCTTCAACAATATCAATTTTTAACGAGACAAGTAACCGCCGAGTCGACGGACAGGTTATTCACTAGCGCGTATTCACCTGTACTTTCCTTTCTTAATAGCAAGATTTCTGAATCATCTACGAAGTTAGCAAAACTTAATGCTTTCGTTCGTTCTAACACTCTGGCCGAAAAAGTTTTGATGACTCTTACCTAGCAACCATGGCGCCACCGATTCGTTCTCCTTGGCACTTTTCAGTATAGTCTCTGGGAGAGGCAAAGAGTGTCGCACCATTGCTCCGTACAGGCCGTACTCCGCCATTATGGTACTTCTGCCCCAACACTTCTCGGTTTTACGCCATTTTGCTCTCCGATTTTGGAACCAGACCTGAAACAACAAATTCATTACGTTCATTTCGCTTGTAGTCTCGGACGCAAGTTGCACCAAGTGGCAATTTCTCAAACGACGAAAAAGGAACGAACGCGGGGAAAACATGACTAATCGCGGAAGTCACATCAAGTGGAAAACTACTTACTAGCAGTCCGTTACGAGTCTAGAACTACCGACAGAACTTCGCCGACAATATATTTGTACCCACTTGCCCATTTAATGATCATTGTCTACTAATTGGGATACTATGAGCGCGACGTGCGATCAGTTTCATGCGTGCGGTTCCACGATAGTCCGTAGTTAACTATTCCGCTTAAACGATCAACTTGGAGTTCGTTATCCTGTTTTTCGCGGCTCGGCGTCCTGTTAGACTACTTGTTAACGATTCTGATCATCGGACCACCTAGGGAGGAGTCGCGTGTCGTTTCCTCCGGTCACGCTCGCATCCCCGGACACGAGTTTCAACTTTAACGAGCTCGATTTCCAAGTTTCGCATACTAACCCCTCTCTGAACTAATTATAAGTAGAGTAATCGTGAGAAATTAGTAATTGTGATGTGCGCAGACTTGATGTTCACTTTTTGTATAAAATACCGCCCGTTCGTGTTTGCCATAATTTAAACGCTGAATTTTTTTTTTTTTTTTTGGTTCGGTTGTTCTTTGATAACGATTTTACGATTGCAACTTGAGAGAGTGTTTTACACCCTCTCAATATTGAACGTGTGGAAAATGATATTCCTATGCGATGGTGGATGGCTATTTAGGTAACCACATATTTGCCCGATTTTTTCATTATATTTACCAACGTTCAAGTTGAATGAAAAAGTTATGGGATTTCGTTTTCTTTTTTTTTTTTATTTAACTCCTGTGTCAATTTAGGGTATTTTCCTTAGGCAAGGTTATATCATTTTATAGCATGTAGATTTAATTTTCATTTGAAGCTTCATTTTCAAGAAAATAAACTTCGAATTTTTGTTTCATTAAAATTGCCTTGGTACATATGTACTTGATAAATTTTCTTATTTGATCTTCTCGAAAACAAAGTCTCAAATCAAAAGAATTTATTCCATGTCTTTTTTCTTATTCTTTTACAAGTCGTGTGCTCACTTTTACATATTATTCGTCTGTATAGGCATCTAATAATATGTAACAGTTTTGAATTTGTGATCGGAGACAACACAGAAAGGAAGCTGTATAGTTGATCGTTAGACAAAAATAAAGAAAATAAGATTGATACGAAATCGATCATGTATACATGAAAGTAGGATTAATATGATGTAACAGAAATTGATTTGATTTTTAGTTAATAGAAGAATTTGCCAATTTAGTTATTTATCTTTTCGTTGTTAATTTTTTATCATTCTACCAATTCGACACAAAGTGATTAAGTTGAAGAAATGATGGATATATGCTGCCGTGTTATATCTACAATTTTTTCGCTTAAATCGCAAATTATTAATGCCAAGTAGTATAAAAATAGCTTATGTATATTATGCGAAAATCTGACTGAGTATATTTCGAATTTATTAATATATCCGATATATTTGTTAATATATCGGATATATTATAATATTTAGTAATATTAATATTATATATAATATATATAATATGTAATATTATTAAAAATTAATATTAAGTTTAAATATTATAATATATATTATATTATAATATTTAATTATATCCTACAATTTAAGTATACGAAATCGACGTCCTATTGTTAAATACTATCTTTTAAATTTCGAACAATTTTTCGCGTTATTGAAACTACCCCTGAAATGACGGTGAAAAACTCAGTTACGAAGCTTCGTGTACAAGCTATTTTCTACATAAAGTTACCACGTAAAATCCATCAACGACATTCTTCCCGTAGTCGCGATTGCGTATACGCGATCGTTGGAGGATGTTATTTAAAAAGGCCTGAACACGCATCATTTGCGAAACGTGTGTACGAGGCAGACGCACGTGGGGGTGGCCTAGGCCGGAGGCCAGGGCGTGTACCAATTTGTAGCAACAATGCTAAAGTCACCAGCAGAATTGGAACGTAATTCGAATGAATGGGAACGCGTTGCCCTGTCAATTTGTGCTGCCACCCTGAAATTATCTTCCGCCTAGGTTTGAACAAGCTAGCCGGCCTTTTTCCCGCGGCCCACCTCACGCCCCACAGGCGTGAAAAATACTCATGCAAATGTTGACCCGCTCTCTCAGATAAAATGCGCTTTTGTTTCATCGATAAGGAAAAACGGGGACGGGTTGGCCCTTTTAAAATCCGTAATCCGTCGACGAGTCTCGCTTTTCCAAAGGGCTCGCGTTAATTCTACGGTAGAAAGGCTCATCTCTGACATCGTCGGTGACGTTTCCTTTCTTTCTTTCTCATTTCTCTTTTCATTCTTCTCTTTCCTTTTTTTAATTCCATCCCCTTGAAATCTTTGACATCGTCGATCGGTTGGTTTGAAACCGTTTCGCGATTCAAAGCCGAGAACTGCGTAATCGAACGTAATAGTCCATCATTCCGGAAAGATGAAAGCGGAAAAGCAGATGGGAGAGTAGGATGTGGAGAAATGAAAGGGATTAAGGCTACGTCGCGGAAATGGTAATGGTCGCGCGAAACGAGAGAATCCTGTAGGAAATCGCTCATTGATCGAAGAGTGGGAGAGGAGAGAGGGAGAGTACAGCCGTGTTCTATCCACTGACGCGTAAATGACTGTACCGATCATAAAGCTGTTATTCGATTTCTAAGTGACTTTACGACGGCGATTGCATCCAATGAAGATAACCGGCCCCGTCCTCGCGACCAACGAATCGGATTTAAACGTTCCTCGAGCACAACCGGTTCATTGAAGTACCCTATCCTCTTCTTCGACTTCTATTTCAGAACAAACACTTACCGTTCAGCATCTACTTCGCTTCTACCGTCCAGAATAAACCATCGAGAAGTTTGATTCGGAATAGGATTATCGGTGTTCAAAAGAGACGGACAATTCGAAAGAAATGGTAAAGCCGTTTGAGAAGCGACAGAAAGAGAGAGAGAGAGAATCGTAACCAAAGATCTTAAAAGCAGTAATACGTTGCCTCGAAGAAGAAAGCTCGTGAGACGAGGTGAAGAAGAATGTATGGAAGAACTTGACGACTGGAATTGGTGAAAGTTCCTCGGGTCGACGAACTCGGCCGAGACTCGTTCGGATATTCGGGAAATCGGAAATCGCGTGCCGAGATTATCCTTTCGGTATCCTGGAATAGCTTACAAGAGACAAAGACAGAGACATCGAAGTACGCTGACAGAATGGATATATATATATATATATATATATATACACATATATATATACATATATACAGGCGCAGAGGCAGCAAGAATGGTAGGGGTTGAGGGCTGCATTGCAGAAGCAGTGGTAGCAGGAACGGCAACGAGGAGGAAGAGGATCTTTTATGGTGGTATTGGACGACTCGAAGGAGCGAGAGCTTCAACGGTGGGCTTCTCGTCTTCCTTCTCTCCCACCCGCCACGTCCTTCCCATTCTCTGGCCCGCCACCCCCTTTATTGGCACACCCGGTATAATAAGGAGTGAGTTTGTATTTAGTCGGCCATGCGCAGTGCTGGCTGTTGGCGTATCATCGATCAGACCGGCGACTGACTATTGGACCAAAACAAGAGGATGAGAATGGGAATGGGAATAAAGAGAGAGGGATAGCTGATATATAAAGTGTGACGGGGAGAACCGAGGGAAAGCGGAAAGGGGCAAAGAGGGGGGCGGGAGGGGGAGAGGGAGAAGAGAAAGAGAGAGAGGGAGGGGGAGAGTGGCGAGCAAGGGAAGCACACGCAGCGAGCGATACCGAGATAAAGAGAAGGACATCGATAGGAAGATCGAGGGAAAGACTCGGAACGAATGCTACAGTGGCGTTCAAGTTAGGATGGGTTAGTGTGTTGGTACGGAGAATAGATACGAAGCGAAGCAAAGAGGGTGGATGGTCCGGGGAGGCTGCGCCCCGAAGATAGGAGAAGATAGGGACTCGCGGTAACTTGCTATAGATTACCAATACACCGGTGTAAGATACACGGTCGCGAAGTCAGGGATAGCCAACGATCGTACGAAAGCGCGGAAAGAGGAAGAGAGAACGGAGCAGAAGGAGGAGAACGGAAAGAGGTGTTCTGCAGGATGGTAGGGGAGTATCGACGAGGAGAAGGGAGGGAGAGATACCGAGATAGAGAGAACAAGTCGACGGCACCCACCTGCCTGCTTCTTGCTGCAACACTCGAGCTCGATGCCAGCACGATGTATTGAAACTGAAGCTGAAGAGTTGCCGTCAGGTACTAGCAGGACGAGGGTCCTCGAAGGTCTACCTAACCGAAAGCTTTTTGATTTTCGCCGTGAAGAGAGGCAGCCAGCCAGCCAGGAATACCACGTACGACAGAAAAACGGGCGGCGAGGCGAGGCAAGGCGAGGAGTGGCGTGGCAAGGCAAGGCAAGGCAAGGCAAGGAGAGTAGAGTAGGAAGCGGCAAAACAGGGAGACCAAGTTGCCAATAAAACGCGAGGAAACGAGACCGTTACTTTTATGTTAGCAACTTGGCCGATATTGTTTTTCGCAATTCGAGCATCCCTGCCCAATAGACGAGTTATACACCGCTATCTATCGGCGAATACCTACCACCTTCGAATCATCGCCACGATAACACCTATACACGCCGCACAAGCTGATACTGTCCCAAGGATAATTGGAGATCTCGTTACTCCCCACCGGTAACTACAATTTACGATCGACCGATAATGAGATATCGAGTTCTGGTTCTCCCTCTTTCGTCACGCCGCACTCTCACCATCCCACGCCATCTCCCGATCCTCTGTTCAATGGCCGTATCGTCAAAGCTCAAACCGATGCCGGGACATATTCGATACCCCTTACGTAGTTATTAAACGCTTTCTTCCTTGAGTCATCTTTCTTCCGTTTTCTCTTTGGCCACTCTCGTTCCTTTTATCTCCTCGATTGTGTTACACGTTACAG